CTTTGGATCGATACGTATGTGTTCTTCACAAACTAGTCGCAACTTACGCAGCTTTCGTTGGATCGATACGTATGCATTTCGAACTAGTCGCAGCTTACGCAACTTACGCAGCTTTCTTTGGATCGATACGTATGTGTTCTTCACAAACTAGTCGCAACTTACGCAGCTTTCGTCGGATCGATACGTATGTATTCTTCACGAACTAGTCGCAGCTTACGCAACTTACGCAAAAGACGTCGCACGGTATGAACGCGGCCTTAGTTGGTGGCGCAGCCTAAGTTTTATACATTTACTGTTTCTGATAGTTGATAACAGTGTTGGTTTCGCGACTGCCCCGCCCCCGCTTGACGGAAAATTTTGGGCGTAAGGTAGCAAATTTCGGGAAATTTCGGAGAGAACTGGCAGGAAGCTCGGAACATGTAGGAAAGTGGTGAGTAGGTGGTGAGGATGGGGGTGGACGTCCCACTGAAACAATCATTTCACATATTACGATACTGTACCCTGAATGTAAAACTACCGAAGAAAGAATGCTATTCGAGAGTGGAAGCAGAGACGCAGAAAACACGACATTTTGGCCCCAATGTAACATACCTGGTACAAAAAGTCAAGGCACATAGACTGAGTGCCATTGTTGTAGTCCACATCCCATGTGATATCAGCACACGATGGCGTATTAACAAAACGCTCACTTTCCGTCCATTTTGTGTTATTTTTGAACTTCTGAGAGAAAATACTTTTTTGTCCAAAATAATTATTCGTTTCTTTCCACTATAGTATTACCGCATCTTGGTCCTTAGAGATATGATGCATCATTGTCTTCCGTGATCGGCATCCACGATGTACGGTTGTTAGACCTCCATCGGCCTCCTAAAAATGATTAGATGCTATCTTCGAAAGCGCCAGGAAAAGAGGCGTGGTCTCTTATAAAACGGGCGTGGCTTCCCACCGCTGTTAGAAAGGCGAAACACCATGGATCGTCACATGATCTGAAGAGTTTCAGATCTTCTCCCGGTTCTTCGATAGAGTTCACGCATTGCTGAAAATGTTTCCAGATTAAATAGAAGTGACGAAGTGAAGCTGAGGTGTAGGTGTGACGAGTGTGGGTCAAGAGATTCGGATTGTGACGACCAACTATGTTGTGATGAGCGCTGCCAGCAAAGCACTA